AGAGAGACACAGCGAGAGAGGGAACACAAGCAGGGGGAGTGGGAGAGGGAGAAGCAGGCTTCCCGCGGAGCTGGGAGCCCGATGCGGGGCTCGATGCCAGGACTCTGGGATCATGACCTGAGCCGAAGGCAGACGCTTAACGACTGAGTCACCCAGGTGCCCCAAGTAGCTAACTTTTTAAATAAGATGAATGTATCTCTGGTTTCATGAGCTATGCTTCTAACTTTCAGTGGTCTAAAGTCCTCAGGTTTAAAATTTTAATTCACTAATATTTTACTTATTGTGACTTTTCCCAAGTCTTGTTTACCATGCTAGAATTATGGAAAATAAAGGTGAAGCCCTCACTAAAATGTTTTCTGAAACCCAATAAAGAAAATATATTTAATGACTAAAAACACAGGACACTTATTTACAGTGGGATTTCTTATAATAGCATCCCAGATACATTCTAGTAATTAAGATATTTAATTATGAACTCAAAAGAATGTCCTGTTAGGTCCTGTCCAATTTGCTACAGCACACAATTCATTCTATAAGCAAATAATAACTGAAACAAATATGTATAATCCTTGACAGAAATGCTATCACTTGTTTTACCAATGATTGCTTTCTCATACTGTATAGAATGACTTATTAAATCTAATAGATGAAGAATTTATTCCACCAAAAAGATATTTTGAGACTTCACTTGTGTTAGGCATTGTTGTAACCTGAAGACATTCTTGAAATAAATACCCCTACTTCTTAGCCATTTAAATGTTTATTCCTTAACAATTAAAAGATTAGGCAATCTATTTGTAGATTATCTACAATGAACAAAGGATAGTTTGTTCCCAAAACAGAGGGAAAGTTAAGTTGAGGAGAAACAAAGTATCTCTCGTGAAAATCTGACTAGCTTTAAACATGAAATAAAAACAAAAGCACCCTTCTGTATTTTGTTGAGTTACTGACCATGAAAAGGCAAAGCAAAGAGATTTTCATTTAAAGATGCAGATTATGTAACCCCAGGCTGGCTGAACTAAACGACTTTTTGGTAACTAAGATGCAATTCTTGGTGGAGCAAAAGACAAAAGAAGAATAAAAAACACAACATCTTTAGTTGTCTTCCTAGACATGGCCCAGATAGAGGAGGGGCTTACAGTCTCACTTAACAAATGAAGTCCCCACTCCAACCCCATATGGCATTCTAATCTTTATGAGCAGTTTGAAAAAAGAAAATAACCAGAAATAAAAATTGTCAGCACTGTAGCCATCAAGAAGCTCTTCTTGTTCCTCTCATCTTAGTTCTTCCATCAAACGGCTTGGAGGGCAACCGTAACCTACCATTTGTTTCTACTCAGTCTCCTAGGCTCTAACTCTTTACAGCTCTGTTCTCAAACCCAATACACAGAATGCCTGACAAAAAGGAGGAACTTAAAGTGTAGTGACTGAATAAATGAGTGAGAGTCTTCATGTATACGGTGAACCGTATAGGGATCATCATTATGGTCATCATCAGATAATTAAGTGGTTTGAGGTGGAAATATGGTATACAAGCAAAACAAACACTATGACAATGAGTTGATTTAAAAATTATCATTAAACTTGTATAAATACGTTTACACTTTAAATGTAGAAACAAGCATACGAAAAAACCACTTTAGATCCTACTATATGAAATACAACCAAACAGAAAAACCTTCCTCCAAGGTATTCAGAAGGAGTAGCAAACACAGGGCTTAAGGTTATAGTGAATACAATGCATTGGTATGGGTCTCTTCTCCATTCTTTTGTCTGCCCCCTAGTGGAGTCCCTGTGAGCAGAGAAAACATAAAAAAGGCAGACACCACAAAAATGAAAAACACAAACAGAACAGAACAAAACAAAACAAAGCACGAAGCACTTACTTTGGACTTCTACAAATCAGTTACTCAAGAACAGCAAGTTAACTTACGAATTCCTATTAAACACTGTGTTCCAAAGACAAAACTCTTCTATCAACCTAGGTAGGTTCACTATTTCCTTAAGCACCTTTGGACTTCTGATCATTGCCTTTTAAGGAAGAGTCCACATCTCTAAATTGAATCTAGGTAGGATATGGCTTTCTCAATATTTAAAAAGACAAACAACTTACTAACTGACAGTTTCCAAGTTGACATGGTTTGGCCACTATTTTTGGTTTTCAGATGTCTCAGACATGAATAGCTAAAACAAAATCATTTCCAAAACAAAGATTCTGGAAAACTATAGATTTATGTCCACAGTACTTCAAGTCAAGGAACAGGTAAAGTGAAAGAGACCATGGTTCAGTGATGGCGTGGCTGAGTGACTCCTCTCAAAAAGCATGCTTATCTCCACGGGGATCTTTCTGTCTAGAGAGGAGTGTGGGTTTTGGTTATGATCTCATCATCAGCAACAGCAGACTCTCCTCTGAACTGTCTGCCCATTTTATACTAGAGTTTTGCACTAACATGTAGAGCTCTTTAAACACGAAGATGATAGACATAAATAATCAATCATGTGGCACACGCCCCTCTCCCCCGTGACTGGTGACACACATTTGCAAGACAATCAGCCAGGGTTTTACAAATTATACTCCCTGAAGAAAACATCAGAAAATGATCCCTGAAGGGGAGATTCAAGTATTAGACATAGATTCTGGGCTACAGTGATCTCGTGGTTCCATTTCTTAATTTCTAGAGCAATAAGAATACGTAACTAATGATTATTAAAAACAAAATGATTTCTGGAGAGGCAATTCTAGATTTTCTCCCATATTTAAGGAACTGAACTTATATAAAACTCCTGCATTAGTAGGAATTCTGTTTCCCGGAACTGTATCAAAATCAAATGAGAGAATCCATACAAAAAACATGCTGAGAGGCATAAGGGCACAAAAACAAATAGTTTACTTAATTACCATTTTTAACAACCTTTGAAGAAGTGCATTAGTATGGTAATTCTGGCAGGTTCTAAAAGCAGCGAGCTTCCCGTGATTTATGACTACATTTTAAGGGATGCAGTATCAGCTTAAAACACCCTCGCCAGCTTTTTCATGGAGGAAACAGAGTAGCTTAAATCAGGAGAGATAAAATGTTCAAAGGTTTATTTTAACAAGCAAATGCTGAGGATATAGGAACACAGAACTTAAAGTTTTTCTGTTCTCAGACTGCTGTGAATGCTCTGAAAGGCGAGAGGAATGAGGAGACAGCTGACATCCATCTTCCTTGTTCATTTATCTTTCCCCTTTGGCCAACACCCTCAGAGAGGAAGTATCAAGGAAGACAGGATAAAACTCCTATGCTTTTAATGTTTTCCCCAATTTCTCTGTTGTTGCTCAGATCTCTACTAGAAAAGCAGGAAAAGGCAAATTCCAACCAAGGACCCCCAAAAGACTTATTCAAATCATTAAGGTTCATATGTCAGGAAGCAGGAAGGTGGGGGGGGGTGGATTTCCCCAAGTCTCTGTACTTGGATGGATCCCCGGGTTAATTTTTATCTCTTCTCTATTTTACTACCAGATTATTTATAGAGGGTAAAGCAGCTAAAATAATTGACTTTAAAAATTTACTGTATTTAGGCAATGATATCACTACTAAGTTTTAAATACACTGACATTATGATACAATTCTTAAAGCATGCTTATACATCTAATTTAATGTTTTGAAGTCTGCTCCAATTATTCATTAAAATGAGTAACAAAGGAACAAAATAATGAAGAAGCAGCTGTTCAATTTGTGTATCTGATTTGCAGCATATTGTGTATTTATAGTTAAAAAGAGCAAAATAAGCTACTCAAGAAAGAACTGTTCCCACTCTCAAGTAATTGTATTTTTAAAATTAG